ATATAATCTTATTATCCACAGTGGATAAGTTCCAAAATACCCTCATGGATATCTGAAACTGGTGATAATAGCAAACCCTGTATACTATGTTTCCACAGATACTTCTCGGGGGGTGGAGGGAGATGTTTTTTGAAGTGTGGGTAAATACAACCATGGACATCAAATCTGAGGATAAGATAATTTTACTATATTTTGTTTATATAGATATTTTCTTCTATGTGGAATAAAAAATCAATTGTTCAAGGAGTTTGGATAGTATTAATTCTATAAAATTGTTTTAATAAATTAACAAGAAACATTTATTTTAAAAATAAATAAAAATAGGAAAGAATACAAAGGAAAGGAAATAAGGGGAACAGGCAGGATTGAGTAGAAAACAAAGAAATTTCATCCCATGCAACATTTAGAAGCTTGGAAGGAAATAGTAAGACTACAAGAGATTGCTGATTAGCTTGTGTCTTTACCAAAATTATCTTGGAAAAATAATAAGTATTTGCCTTACTACAGCATTCATCTAATTCAGTCATAATCCAAAAGGGAACTAGTATAGTTTTTATCAGTTGCTTTGGCAGCAATACTTAAATTGAGAAAATGTATATGCCAAGCCTCTAACTACTTTGCTAACAAAGCATTGTTTTATGTATTAAAAACAAAATAACATATTTTGCAAGGAAAACAAGTTTTGTAATACGGAGCTAATATTTGATCTTCACAACTTATTTGCTTGCTTACTTACTTACTTAGGCGATCCCTCGTTGGCCAGTCTTCCAGGATTAGAATTCTTGTGAGTCTTTAGGTGGCTGTGGAGCCCTATTCTTGATCTGCATCCAGGTGGAAGCCGGTCCCAGTTGGAGTTGGCTTGATGCGCCTTCCTCTTGGCACATTTCTCTCTTTCACCCTCCATTCATGCCTCTTCAAATTCCTCAGCACTGCTGGTCACAGCTGACCTCCAGCTGGAGCACTCAAGGGCCAGGGCTTCCCAGTTCTCAGTGTCTATGCCACAGTTTTTAAGGTTGGCTTTGAGCCCATCTTTAAATCTCTTTTCCTGTCCTCCAACATTCCGTTTTCCATACTTGAGTTCGGAGTAGAGCAACTGCTTTGGGAGACGGTGGTCGGGCATCTGGACAACATGGCCAGTCCAGCGGAGTTGATGTCAGAGGACCATCGCTTCAATGCTGGTGGTCTTTGCTTCTTCCAGCACGCTGACATTTGTCTGCCTGTCCTCCCAAGAGATTTGCAGGATTTTCTGGAGGCAGCACTGATGGAATCGTTCCAGTAGTTGCATGTGATGTCTGTAGACAGTCCACATTTCGCAGGCGTATAGCAGGGTTGGGAGGACAATAGTTTTATAAACAAGCGCCTTGGTATCTCTATGGATGTCCCAGTCCTCAAACACTTTCTGCTTCATTCGGAAAAATGCTGCACTCGCAGAGCTCAGGCGGTGTTGTATTTCGGTGTCAATGTTTCTAATGTTACACCATTAAGCTGTATCTCTGGCATTGGAAAGGGATTGGCTGGTGACTGTTGGAAGAGCACTTTGGTTTTCTTGATGTTAAGTGACAGGCCGAGCTTCTCGTATGCTTCTGCAAAGGTGTTTAGAGTGGTTTGTAGATCTTCTTCTGAATGTGCACAGACGACGTTGTCATCTTCACAACTAGTGGTCTGCACATATCAAGTAAAACACACTGCAGAGAGTTCATTTTTGCCCTGGATTTGCTTTCTAAAAAATGGGGGATGGGGCAGTACCTTGATGAGGAAGCATCTTACAGTGTTTGCCTTGTCTGAAAGACTTTGAGCCACAGCAATTCCTACTTTGTACAACTGAATGATCATAGCTTTTTTTGTCAATCAAGATGTAACTGCATTGTAATTTTCCTATATTATTCTAAAATCTTTAATCTCTACTTTTTGCACTGTTGTCAGGAAGCAAAGGACTTTGCCAACACAAAAAGCATGTTGTACATGGAAACATCAGCAAAAACTAATCACCAAGTGACAGAACTCTTCACAGCCTTAGGTAAGTTTAACCACACAGTTAAAAGTACAATTAAGGCTATTATTTTGTTGATGCGTTAAAGTAAACTGGAATAATCTATTATGGCCTACCAGACATACTTTTGGTACTTTTTCCAAGGCTGGGCACTGGTAGTGAGTTAAAGTAGAGACAAGATTTCAATGAGTTGTCATTGGGAGGGGAAGATTTCCAGCCCAGTCTGGCCTAATTCTCCAGTGCCTGGCTCCTGGTTGGCTTCTTACAGCCAGGCACTTTGAGATGGCTGGCTAGATCCATAGATTGTTCTCAGCCAGCCTTCCAAGATCATTCTGGCTCAGAGGACCCACCCAGAAACTGGGCATCAGAGAATTAGTCAGCCTTCCTGCTGCTAATGATGAAAGTAACATAGCCTCTGCAGTTGTGTCCATTTCCTTCTGCTGTCATTGTTCTGTCATAGCCTACAGCTCTGTAGCTCCTCGGGCATAGTGCACAAAGAGGATTTTGGCTTAGGATTCCACTTCTATGTATACTTACTATAATGTATCGTAAGTATACTATATGTAACTTTAAGGTAAAAGTAAAGGTTTCCCCTGAAATTAAATCTAGTCGTGTCCGACTCTGGGGATTGGTGCTCATCTCCATTTCTATGGAGGGTTGTCCATAGACGACTCCAAGGTCATGTGGCTGGCATGACTGCATGGAGCACCGTTACCTTCCCCCAAAGTGGTATCTCTTGATCTACTCACAATTTTAATGTTTTTGAACTGCTAGGTTGGCAGAAGCTGGGGCTAACAGTGGGAACTCACCCTGCACCCTGGTAAAAAAGCTCAGTGGTTTAACCTGCTTCACCACCAGGGGCCCCGTATATTGATATAACGACTATAATGATATAACATTTTTTCATTACTCTTTATTTATTTATTTACAGTATTTCTATACCGCTTTTCTCACCCCGAGGGGGACTCAAAGCGGTTTACACATAAGTAATGGCAAAATTCAATGCCAGTACAAACAATTACAATTATACACTATAATTAAACATAAATCAAATTAAAACCATACATCCATAAGCAATAAAACAATCATTAAAACAATAAAACAGTCTCGTTTGTCAAATCACCATTTCAGTCATTGTCTTCCTGAAATGCTGCATACATTTTCTTCTGCTGCCCGAAGGCCTGGTCCCAAAACCATGATTTAATTTTTTTTCCTAAAAGCCAGGAGGGAGGGAGCAGATCTTACCTGATTTGGGAGTATGTTCCATAGGTGGGGGGGGGGGCACAGCCGAGAGGGAAGCAGAAAACAAGCTTGCTCTCTCCTTCTTGTGGCTTCCTCTCACATATTTATACATGGCTATCATATCTCCTCTCGGCCTCCTCTTCTTCAGGCTAAACATGCCCAGCTCCTTAAGCCACTCCTCATAGGGCTTGCTCTCCAGTGGTTTGCTCTTCTCCACACTCGCATGTCATGGATTCCACTTTGTAGCCCCATTTCTTAAGATTGGCTCTGCATCTCGTGATGCCAGAACGCAGTCTGTTCAATGCCTTCCAAGTCGCCCAGTCTTCTGTGTGCCCAGTGGGGAGTCTCTCATTTGGTATCTGCCATTGACTGAAGTCTGGGTTTGAGCCTGCCACTTTTGGATTCTCGCTTGCTGGGGTGTTCCAGCGAGTGTCTCTGTAGATCTTAGAAAACTATTTCTAGATTTAATTCGGTGATGTGCTGGCTGATACCCAAAGAGGGGGTGGGCCGGAGATGTCACTGCCTTGGTCCTTTCACTATTGGCTGCTACTTCCCAGCAGATGTCAGGTGGTGCAATA